AAATTACCATAAAAGAATTTTCCCAAAATATTACATCCAAATACATGGTTCTAATATTTACAATTCTATGAGTAACGTTTGTTTAGCGCAGAAGCGTTGTCGTTCTTGTTGTATCTAAACCAATCTGATTAAAATAAGATCTTAGTTTGCGTTTTTCTTTAAATGTTTAAAGAATATTAATTAGTATTATTTTTCATATATTTAATTTTATATTTTTTTTTATTTTATTATTTTCTGTTTTTTATTTTCCAGATTTTGGTAATCGCGAAAGCCCACCGTGGGCCAGAATATAAAAACAAAAATAAATGAAATAAAGTATTTATTTGAAAAAAAACATTGGGCCAACGAGTTACAATACTCGTCGACACTTATACGTTACGGTCCGCGTGTGAATGAGGTCATTGCACTGAATACTCGATTGCATGAGTAATATGATCATAAAGAAATGAGACATTGTGTGCATGACTCGAAGTTGCCTTTTGACCCATAATGCATTCAAAGGGTCAATGAAACCCACTTAGTGACAGCTCCATTGTATGTATTGCATAACATGTGTCAACTCGAACCGCAATTCAAGAACATCACATTCATCATGTCACACTTCCAACGTAGTTCTTATTCAAAGCCGGGCGGTATACTTAACATACACGGGATCAAAAAAGCTAGTTGATCTTTAATTATCCAAGTGGATAACGAAAGCGATTAGTTCATGACAAATTACAAAAATGACGTAGCTGACACGCAGATAACGCGAAACGTGCAACGCAGCATGGGAAATACAGTTCCATGTTATTTATTCATATGTAGGGCAATGGAAGGAAGTATGGCCATGGTGGGACATTGCTCACAGCATGATACACAATAATACCATACAGTACGTAGAATAGCGACTTACATTTGCATGGCAATTTGTAATTTGCAAGCCATGTGAACGGGTGATTGTCACTCAAATGCTATCAAATAACTTCCATTCTTTCAGACTGTCAATTATTATATTGCAAACAAGATTCAGAACAATGCTCTGAAAACCGCGCTGATATTCCTGATCTTGAATGCAAGGTGTTCTCATTCATTATTTTTTTTTTATCTAGATTGTATTTGTGTCACAAAATGGAGTTCGCACATATTGTAGGATTAAAAATGAAAGGATTTTGTTGATGATGTATGTGGGCATAACAGGTCATAGTACGGCTGCGACGTGCCTTGGACACATGGCTATCAAATTCGATAGTGTCAACACTGGTATCATGGTTTTGAGCAAGTACTAACATCGGTCGTAGAACAATCTTGGGTTTATTGGCCTGCTATTTGCGATCTTATTCAGCCTCGTCCCTATAGCTTATTCAACAATTATTCACCATAATCCTCACCGGCTACATACTGTAAAAAACGTGTCGTGAGCGAAACAGCCACAGTGATCACAAATAGTTCAATACAATGTTGAAGAAATTCTCTTACTTTACCATTATGTGGATGTGAGCCCATTGTTACGAATCGGAAATGTGGAATATTACGTTTCAAAAAAAAATGTTTGTAATCAGGTTCCAGTGTATTTAATTATTAATTATCTTGGTCGAAGCAAGAAGTGTGCTCTCGCTGTGACAATATTGAAGTTCAGCATCTTTATTGGGTATTTTGGGATGAAAAATGTCCCCAAAACAAGGCCGTTGGTTTGAGTTTGGGCGACATATTCTTGTCATCTTTACTTGATTGATTAACTCCGGGTAAAATTATACATTTCAATCATATAATCCAGATGAGCTTGGGTTTATTCTGGCGCGAGGCAAGTCCCCACAATGTGAATGTACACCCGATTGGTACTGACAAATTGAACCGTTCCCTGTTATATATATAATATTTGCTCAGTTATCAGCACTAATCGATTAATAAAGACGAGCAGCGCTGACTACCGTACGGGGACGTCAACTGAGTCAACAATTGTCCTTGCAATGACAGTTTACGCTGTATTCGATAAGTTTGCCGAAATACTGAAATCGTGATTTGAATTCACACTCATATAATTATAGTACTTCATCATTGGCATCCGATTATCGTTGACGTCACCACAATGGCTGCACTGAGCGAACGTCACGTACGCACATTGAAGGAAAGCAGAGGTGTGACTTTTACTACTCAGTGCAGGGAGTTTGGAATCGTTGATGCAGAATGAATTCTGACGATAAAAACAACTTGTATGTGCTACGGAAGGACCTATATATCGGATATAAAACGGGGTGTGGAGTAGACAACAAACAATCTCCTTGCATGACATAATTTTGTCTCTAGAGGGCTAGTCGATGACGTCACCAGTGAACAGTGATATCAGAACCTATTAATTCTAGATCTAGTACGTCAATCCCATAGAAGTGCTAACATAAGTCCTTGTTACTGGCAATTTCAAAGTTAAAACATGGTGATGTGTTGTGCGGATGCCATAACGATTCACGTAATACCCCGGTTGATATTAAGTTTTTTGAAATCCCAAATGAAAAATCACGTTCAAAGTTGTGAAAATTCGGCAGAGGAACTAACCTGGTAGTGACGACGGACACGTCGTAAAACGTACGAGCTATTAGTAAACAGTGAGTAAATAAATATTGCAACGTATGAGTTAACTAAATTAGAAATACGCCAACAGTACTCATTTCGTCCATCTTCCCGTTTTTAATCGACCGCCGAATGCTTAATTTCCGACCGCGCAATCTTTTCCGTCGGAAATCACCACATTTTTATCGTTTTGTTCCGCCCCTTGCTTATTAAAAATACCAACCGCTCGCCTAAACACTGAACACTGGCACATGAGTGGTCGAAATGGTTTAATTGCAAAGTTATTATTAATTGTAGTATAATTGTATTATTATTATTACATTCTGAACGACACTTCAAATCGATGAAACTTTGTATCCTTCGCGAACGCAACTTGAACTGTGACCTCTTGTTACGTGATTTGAGTGCTTGTTCTGATTTAGCGAATTAAATATTTTATTTTATTTTTGATTTTATTTAAATGGGATGGAAATGTGACTGTGAGAGTTTCATGGTAAAATTTAGCATACATGTGTAATGTAAATTTACCATGTTCCACAACATGCTGATTGGGCGGAACTACGTTTCGTCTGTATCTAGGACCGCTCGCTCTTTCAATAATGATTATCGAGACAGAAACACGACGTATTACCATTTGTCAAGCGTTTGCTAGCCATGTAATACTGGGCCAAAATGACGTACTACTATGTGTTGGCGATTACGTCACATTATATTAATATGATAATGATTATATTATGTAAGCGCAACTAAAGAAATCGCGAAATCGCTACAAAATCACAGTTTTCTCACCAATAAGATACGGCAGTCAAATAGTGAACGCAAACCTGGCAAACTAAATATTTCATATTGACGAGTATCATTATTTGCGTAAATAGGATAAATTTGGGAGAAAGGTACCCGGATGGAGGTAGACATACGAATATGCCATCAGGTCGACACAGGATTATGTCTACCTGTAATGCGCGAATCTGATTAGCTGTCACGATCATAATATAATAATAGCGAATCTCTTTTTCCTACCATGAAAACTAGATGAACACATCATAGAAATGTACATACTTCTATATGTGTATATATGTGTAATGCATGTACTGCTAGGTAACAGAAATGCGCTCAAGCAAACCTATTTCAATGACATTCACATTTTGAAACGGAAAGATATATTCGTTGAATAGACATTTGGAGACGAACCATTAGTTCTGCGGTGCATGAATTAGATTGGAATTGAATAACACACATAGTCGAAACAATTTTAACTGTCTAGAGAAATTCTTTTCTGCCATCGCAATTGGATTTGTCAATTCGAAAACATCACATCTCTTCATTCGTCGGTGTTATTTACGTTTTTTACTGAAAAGTAATGATTTTTTAGAAAATCTGTCAGCTTTCTGTTTACCCTCTTTATTTTATATATACATTGCTGCAATGTCGCTTCACAGTGAGAGTGAGAAGTTAACGAATGGTCATTGATGGACATTCACAACAATCCAGTTTTCTCACATGATCATATTGCAATAAAAAACATTACACCCTGATTGAAATACGTAAACAAAAAATAGATCACATATGCATGGTCATTAACATAGAATGGAAATGAACAAATTACAATAAATCATAGAGAGTGGGTTCGCCCACCACACAATGCTATAAATACTTTTTCTTCAAATATATAACTAAATTATTATTTCTTTTACTTTGGCAACAACATGCATTTTGACTTGTGTGTAACGCCTTGTATACAACTAATACGTTCCAATTAGGATACGGCGATTTTTAGCTTTACATTGTTCTGGTATTCCATTACATGAAAAAAAAAATATCTTCTGTATCTTCATCATTCTAATTCTTTCCAAAAACAGTGACGTATTACATTTCCATAATAAATGTTTAAGTGTCAAGATTTCTTCTTGTATTTGTTGCTGACATAAGTTAGAAAATCATATACATGATTGAGACAACAAATTCTGATTCGATATATATTTTCATGAACTAAGTGTGGACTAGTATCCAACATAAAAATCGAGGAGTCCTGATTCAATCTTGTGCTAGGATTTAAGCCTGCCTAGGTTGCTAGAATATAAGAATGCATGACAGAATATTTAGATACGTAATCGACGACGCGTGAATTACCAGAAACATGGTTTAGTAATTGCATAAACTGTAATCGTCTTGCCACGACACATTCAGTAAAACCCAATTTATGTTGAAATGAAACAATAAGTAGCAATTTCCAAAAGCTATTCTAGATACCGTCACGCCTCCCGGTGTTTTGAAATAACGATATTACTTTCACTTATTACCCGTGCTTCATCTCGCAGTGCGAATTACTGATATATTTTGGTTCGCGTCAAATAGCTCCATCTATGGCAGCAATGCGATATATGAGTACAAGATATCTTTCAGATTAGACAACGTAATTACAAATGATTTGCCATTTTGTTGACGATAATTTGCTGATTACGATCAGAAATCTGTGATTTGAGAGATTGTGAGCGGTCAACAAGCGAAATATGAGTCGATGAGTATCGAACACGACAGAGAAGATCCAAATGGTGTTCTGTTATATTAATCCTAAATACCTGTTCGGAAAGTCATTATACTGCGATTTCATCAGAGGTCTTCAGGATTATGGACTTCTTAACGTTATTATTTTTTGCGGTGCCATTTTTTTCGTTGGATTTACTCACACTTGCGTTTTTGCTATAGACAATTTTGTACTGTTTCCTTCTTGACTGTTGTATATTGCGACGGAACGCCCCCGTAGAAAGTGTATAAATATAAGGATTGATGGCGCTGTTTGCGTAACTCAAACATATGCTGGTTAGATAGAGAACAAAGAAGCTTTGCGATGGTGGTTTTGATTGGTCAACATGGAACATGTAAGTGAATTGGATAACGTAAAACGGTAGCCAACACACAATGAAAATCGTCACGTAAAGTATAACCATCTTAATCACCTTCTGTGAGGATTTTTTTGCGTTAGTTTTAATAGCAGGCCCTCGGCTCCGCCTCAGCTCTAATGATATCAACAAATAACACGTGATTATGATCAACAACGGCAAAACAAAGGCCAAAATGAAAGTGTAGATGAGAAAGGCGGTTCTATTAAAGTACTGAGGGAATACTACTGTGCACGCGTAAGTCGATTTCGATGACTCCGCCAACTTCGAGTAAAGCAAGAGCGGAAAAATAACAATCGATGAGAATATCCAGACACATAACGCTACTAGCTTAGCCTTCGTCGCCGTCCGGAAAGCCATTGTCTTCATTGGGTGGACAAATACTATGTATCGATCCACGCTCATCACAGTGAGAAGGTAGATCCCCGTAAACTGGTTAAGTCCATCGATGGAAAGCACGATTTTGCACACGGCGGTTCCAAGATTCCATGAGGGCGATGCGAGCGCGTAGGCTAGGAACGGCAATCCGACCATGAACAGAATGTCAGCGATAGCGAGATTAAAAATAAAAATGTTTGAAACCGATTTCAGTTTTGTATATTTCACAAGCAGATATAACAAGAGTGAATTCCCGATGAGACCCACGATGAAAACGATGCTGTACACTACCGGGATGTAGATGGCAATCCCGCTACCGTGTAAATGGTCATCGCCGACAGGTGATGTTATATTCGATTGCGAGATATTCATTGTTGCACCGCCGACGAAGTGTCGTGTAGTCGTAGTTTACGCACACAGTACTAAGATGAGTCAGCCTGAATTCAAAGCGTAGTTAAGAACCAATCAGTTAATCTACTATCGCTTCTAGTACCCATACTTACAATAAAGTGAATAGAAAGAAACTATGTCATCTGCGTCATATCGCTGATTAATATATAAACATCCTCACTTGTAATTACCACCCAAGAAGGCTTGTCTGCTGATGGTCCACAAAACATGAATAAACATTGTTACTTTTATACAGAGTGGTGTTGCCATAGTCACAGAGCATGACTGATAACATAATTGATAGACCATATGATAAAAATATGAATACATTGCATGCAATTATACATCCAATTACATTTATCAGTACTTCTATTGCCAAGGTATTTTCAAAAAGGCCCTCAGATACCAGCTGTAGTTGAATGCTGGTATGGACTGTATCCGTGTTAAGGGCAAACGGATCACGTGCTCTTCTGTCTTTTACCTCCATGGTACTCGCTACGTTAAACTACGACATGACTGTGATACACTATAATACAGAATTCTATTATATTGCTCACAAATTTCACACACAAAATTATTATTAGAAGTATGATAGCTACGACAAAAAAAAAACTGCAGACATGCTATCGCCAACGGATTGTCAGTCGGTAGTTTGTGTGTAGTTATTTGGCCATATATTGTGAAGAAACAAAGATAACGAATAACGTCCGGTGAAATTCACGGGTGGTTTACGTGACTATATTAAATATTAATAATAAAGATGTTTTCAATAGTCGATACAAACGGAGTTAGTACCTTCCATGGATAGTCAAATAAGCAGAAGGGCAAAATAAGTAGACAGGTAATCCCTAAACAAACATTGGTATGCATTAAACATTACCGTTTTCACCTGTTTCTGCGTTAAATGAATTACTTCAACTGATTTAGAGCTGTTAATTCAATTATTATATTTGAACACCAACAGCAAAAAGCAAATTGCAAATAGCTGCCGAAATGACAGGAGCAATGTGAAGTTAATAAATTTTTGGGAGGTGCCTTGCTATCACTATGCCACGTTGCTTACTGTACATATCAAGGACCTTGTTCAACGTTAGAACCATTCCTCAGATATAACAGTGAGTATATCAAAGGCAACTTTGTCATATAAAAATCGTCACACGAGTTCTCTGCACTGAGATATATGAACAGCCAAACGTTATATTGAGAGGTAATGGCTGTAACATATGAATAAGTGAAGTATCTCTATGTCAATGGATGGTGACAGTGCCCATAATAGTCAGATCCTGTGTGAGTATGGCAATATATTTCTGAGTAAGACAACAGTTGATGACCGCCACCATGAGAAATAACCAACCACCCAAATAAAATTTGCCTCTGCTGTTTGAAGACATGATATTTTCAACTGAACAATTTAATAACTAACCAAATGTTCTTTCTTTGGGATAGAGATTAACTGGTAAATGAAAATTGGAAATATATAACTATAAAGCTCGTACGTATTCTAGTAAGTGGGGGGGGGGGTTCTATTTTATCCACAAGGGTATACAGTGTATGAGATATACTTATATATGAGAAATATTTATATAGAAATCCTATGTTAAACGGTCGTTTATTTTGAGATATAGCAAAATAATAGTTATTTAGGAAACTTAAATAAACGAAGATTCCGTTACAGTATACAATAGGGAATATAAGCATTCATATTTGAGGTGTGTGTTCATTTATTTATTTGGTAACTCTGATCCCACAGAAGCAGGTGCCTGCGAGGATATTATTATCAACTGACTAACGATAACGCACTATTATCGTATCTCGTATCTATATATATTACGTAACCAATCATTACTAAAAATAGTTTGTGACAAAAGTCATTTTAATTTAGCAGCGAAATACATTTGCATCTGATTATGTTATATGTTGGTGGATTGTTATATATTCCAAAACATAAATATATAAATCATACTTACTATGTGACACGTTCATTTTGTCATTAACAATGTTGAACTCATGTCACGCCCAATAGAAAACTACATAACGCAAAATAAAAAGCAACATAAATTTCAAAACGCTACATGTACTCAAGGTTTTACATCACAATTAGAAGCGAGTTCATATCTAACAGTATATACTGTCTTTATAAATATTACGCATACAACTGGGAGCTATCCTCCCTAAATTCGATATAAACGACATAATAATCTTGTAATATGCCTTTTTTAAGGCATCATTAAACTCGCATTCAATTAATATGTAGTTAGTATTTCGTTTCCATAGCTACCATCATTTCTTGCAGGGGTGACATTATAGGTTGATGACCGATAAAGAGTATTTAATAAAATACCAAGGTTAGTTTAGATGGTGTGATAACGAGGTATATAACAGTAACCCGTACGTATTGAGGGTCCTTACATAACCAACATGTAGACGTAGACCTTTGTTACACATGCCACAAACCCCGAATAGACCTAGCTCGAGCCATTCCATTAGAGCTCGTCCGTTCCATTACAGAGCGTTCCTTAGAGAGCGGTCACGTAACGTGTGATCACCTGACAAGTGCTGGATACACGCTCTAACGGAAAATACCGTTAGGTTTAGCGAATTTACGAACCGTTACGAAAGAGTTTGCTCGTTCGAAGACCGTTTTTGTAAAAGCGACAGCCTTGGTCGATACACTGTTCATTTACACAATCTTTTCTGGCACCATACGCACTCACACTGTTAGCGGCGGAGTGAAACGCGCCCATGTCATGCCATTAACCGATTACTGACGTCTATGTATTTCATGTCTTTGGCATGAAAGCTATAAAATATATAAAATACAATGCCTTGCTATCGTTTGAACATTTCAAATATTCAATTAGTCTAGCGTTTTTTTTTCATTCCATTGGAGACGAGTCGCTCTTCATTTCATTACATCCAAACCACTCTCTAACGTCGCTCTATTT